TCTGCCCGACGCCCTCGCCTTGCGCTGCGAGGGACTCGCGGGAGCCCAAAGCCGAGGTGTTTCCAGCCTGAGAGATCCCGTGTTGTGTTTAACGTACACAAGGTGAGGCGGATGCCATGGAACGAGCCAGGACGTGCCTCAGCGTTCTCCGGGTTGGGGTATTGCTCGTGGCGCAGTGTAATCTGCTTGTTAACCGAGCGGCTGGCACAGTCACCGCGGAGCAGCGGGTGTCACAAGAGGGTTGTTGGTTTGGGACTTTCCCCTTTGAGGATGTAGGCTGACATTTCACTCGATTCACACCTTTTAAAAAGCGCAGCTTCTGGGGTATTTAAAAAAAGTGTTTTCCAGTTGTGGGGTCCTTAGCTTTGTTACATGAAAATACTCAATGATTTTGTCAACTAACACAGAGCCTGTGCTACTGCACATACAAGTAATTTATTATAACACATTCTGATTTAGTGATTCTGTTTTGAAGGCGATGAAGTTGCACTGGAAAAGAATTGGTTGCTCATATTGTAGCCATGTTACAATAAACTGACCAGCTAGCTCTTTGTTAAAAAGATTTTCCTTTGGGTCTTGTAGGTTGAACTTTGTGGGAGGATTTTCTGGGCTTCACCGCAGGGGAAATGGGATGCTCTGTGGAGTGGAGGCATTGCAGGTTCCCACTCCACAAGATACAGAGCGCTGACACAAGCAGATATGGTGTCATGACAGCTGTAGTGCTACGCCTGGGGAAGTACAAGTGACAGAGATGGTTGTAAGATGTACGTTCAACAGGTGCTCTTTGTGGGGGGAATTGGTTTGTGCTCTTTTTTTTTTTTTGGAGGCGAAGTTACTCTGTGGTGGGGAACATAACAAATTTAAGTGTCGCGAATCCTGATTTAGGATCCTGCCAACTACACCAGTTTGTCATGAGGGGGTGGTTAGGTCACTTAAAGAATCACCATCAAAGGTATTTGCAAAAATGATTTTTATAAGAATTTATAAAATGTGACATCCTCCTGGAGAAACTAGCTGCCCATGGTTTGGACAGGTACATTCTTCACTGGATAAAAAACTGGATGGATGGCCGAGCGCAGAGAGTGGTGGTGAATGGAGTTAAATCCAGCTGGCGGCCGGTCAC